CGACAAATTCAAAGCTCGCTGGGTCGTGCGCGGCTTTGACCAGGAGCACGGAAGAGATTACACCGAAACCTTCGCTCCGGTCAGCCGTCACACCTCACTCCGAATCCTCATCGCCGCCGCCGCCATGAAGAAAAAGAAACTGCGACAAATCGACGTCGCAAACGCATTTCTCTACGCACCTGTGGATGCAGAAATCTTCGTCGAGCTCCCGCACGGCTCCCACGGCGAACCCAACCGAGTCTGTCAACTGCTTAAGTCGCTCTACGGGATCAAGCAGGCACCGCGACTGTGGCAGCAGTACCTACACGCCCGCCTCATTCGCATCGGTTTCAAACAACTCCCGCATGACCAGGGCATGTATCGCCTCACAAAGGGAAGTGACTACGTTCTCCTAATCGTCTACGTGGACGATCTCCTCTACATTGGGTCAACCGACGGCATCGCCACGTGGTTCGAAGGGGAGCTTCAGAAAGACCTCACGCTCACGGTCTCTTCTACCGTTACGCAGTACCTCGCGCTCAACATCCGCGAGGAAGAAAACGCAATCTATCTAAGCGCCGAGAAGTACGCCGACACCATCGTGAAACGCTTCAGCCTCACACCAAGCGCCATCTCCACGCCTTACCGCTACACGTCAGGAACCGAAAAGGGACGATCTACCCTACTCAAGCCCGCCGGCATACGCGACTATCAGAAGAAGCTCGGATGTCTTCTCTTCGCAGCAGTCACATGCCGTCCCGACTTATCCTACTCCGCGAGCCGTCTCGCCACCTATCTCAAGAAGCCTGAAGCAGAGCATCTGGCGGAACTCGATCGCGCTCTCCACTATTTCGTCAGCACCGCGACGATCGGATTAACTTATCACAAAAACGCAACTACACCGACCAAGCTAATCGGCTACGTCGACGCCGATCACGCCGGCGACACCGATAACAGGCGCTCACGCACCGGCTATGTCTATCGCCTCGAGCCTATCGGTCCTATCTCCTGGCAGTCGAGTAAGCAGGAGTTAATCGCACTGTCTTCAGCTGAAGCGGAATATATTGCACTCTGCTCAGCCACCAAGGAGGGACTTTACCTTCGCGAACTGCTGGAAGAAGCGAAGTTAGTCGAGTTACCCAGCTTCACCGTGTTCTGCGACAACCAGTCAGCAATTCGCATCGCCAACAAGAACGGCTTCGCAAACAGGACGAAACACATCGCCCTGCGCTATTTCTTCGTGAAGGACGAGATCGAAAAGGGGAAACTCGATCTGTCATACTGTCCCACGTCTGAGATGGCAGCCGATTACTTGACCAAGAAGCTCGGAAAGCAGAAGTTCGAATACTGCATGCTGCTGACTGGACAAGGCCACGTCACCTGCGGCGACACTCCAGAAGCGAAGGGGAGTGTTGGAAACAATAAGTCTTAGTGCGCTTCTGTCGTGTCAAAACCCAAGACACTAGCGAAGCAGTCCGAATCGAAGCATCGAGTCAAACCTCGGAGGTTAGGGTAACCGCTTGGAGGTTACGGGAAAGTCAAAGGTCAGCGACCTTTGACTCGACAATTACAGCGCGACAGTTAAGGACACACAACTGACTCGTTACAGAGCAGTTGCCCGAGTCGCACTGTATCGAATCGCAACAGCAAATACAGTTATCTATCCATTCGTATTCCCTGTACTCTTATATAAAACCTTGTATTTGCTTGTTTAATTTAATCCACTTAGCTCTCACACACTAGTGCAAGGTCGATTCACAAGTTTCATTAAACGCTTCCGCTATTACAAAGTTTCTTACCCAGAGTCATCCTCTGCAAAGATCCTTAAGGGCTTTCTCAGCCCAACAGTTACAAGGGAAAACGAAACATTAGTTACAAGAGAAACAAAACGTAATAAGGGTACAAGAAGCGCACCTAGTCTCTAAACTCAACCTTTCTCAGCCTCGTTGCATACGCCAACGAGGCAGGTGGCTCAAGAATCTTGTCGCACGATCGCACAATGAGAACTTCTAACGACTTGAGCAGACCCAAATCTTCGGGCAACCCTGTCAATTCCGCACACCCCGAAACCAGCAGGTAGGAGAGAGCCGCCGCTTGGACTAGAGATCCGGGCAGGGCTGCCAGGCCCTTGCAGTTTTCCAATGAAAGTTTTCTTAGAGATGGCATCTGACCGATATTTGCGGGCAGGGAGAATATTAAAGGGCAGGAGGAGATTATGAGTTGCTCCAATGACGTAGAGGTGCAGAGAGAGTTTGGAAGCTCTTTCAGTGCTGTGCAGCGAGACAACTCCAGGCAGGAAAGTTTCTTAAGCTGACCGAGATCTTCAGGCAGCAAAGAAAGGGCAGTGCAGCTGAACAGAGCAAGGCGAGAGAGCGAGGGGAGGAGGAGGTGCAGCGAATCAGGAAGGCGTGTCAACTTCTTGCAGAACGCAACCCTCATTTCCTGCAGCTTTGCCAGCTGGCACACGGCCACTTGGTCTGACACCTGGCAAGGCGCCAGCTGGCGCGAGGGACAGCTGGAAGTGGGAGAGAGCAAGGGACAGCTGGCGATAAAAGCGTTCGTCGTGCAAGGGTGGTGGTTGAAGGCAGGGAAAGGGAGGGAGAGGAGGGAGGAGAAGCGACGAACGGAGAGCGTTTGGAGGCTGGTGAGGCGGGAGAGGGAGGAGGGAAGGGCTGAGATGCTGCTGCTGCGGGCTAGCTCAATGTGAGTGAGGGACGGTGGGAGGAAGAGAGGTGCGGTTGTTGCATCCAAATTTCTTGGACCAGGATCAGCAGGAATGGAATCAGGAGTGGCAGGAAGTGGGGGGTTTTGAGCAGCAGTAGCAGCAGCAGGAGGAAAATCCGGAGCAGCAGGAGCAGCGGGAGTGGCTGTAGCAGTTGTAGCGCCCATATCCAGTAGCAGTTGGTCTAAACACGGAAAGTGATCCAACACGAGGTGCATCAAACGAGGCTGCTGCTGCAACAGCAGTCTTGGCACATTTGCAAGCGATTTGCAACCCTTCAATATAAGAACCTCCAGGTTTCGCAGATCTTGTGCAGAGGAGGGTAAGGCGGTCAGCTTGGCGAGTTTTAAGAGCTCGAGATGGGTCAAGGAGGACAGGTTTCCTAACGCTGTAGGGAGACACTCTATACTGAAGCATTTTTGGAGAGAGATGAGTTTCAGGTTGGGTAGAGAGCAGATGGATTCTGGAAGGTGGCTGATTTTTAGACAGTCAGTCAGTCTCAGCTCCTCTAGTTTCTGCAGCTGCCCGATTTCTTCGGGCAGGTTCTTGAGCCAATTGCAGATGCTCAGGTCAAGGGAATGAAGGTTTTGGAGGGAGGAGACGGACGATGGGAAGGTGTCTAGCCAATAGGCATGCCGCAATTCAAGCTTGCGAAGACCGGGCAGCCTGCAGAAAGAATCAGGTAGCTCTGTCGAAAAGGACCCCCCAGCTAGCGTGAACGTTTGCAAAGCTTTCAACTGCATGAAATTCTGGGGCAGGTCGAAGAGATTGGAGCAATGGGAGATGTTGAGGGTAGTGAGAGCGGGCAGTTGGGTGAGAGATTCGGGCAGCTGAGGAAGACTGGAGCAATAAACCAGCTCCAGCTTTGTCAGGGACGACAGCTGCCCGATAGATTCGGGCAGTGCGCAAAGTTTCCAGCACCAAAGGGAGAGCTCTTGCAAGCAGGATAGGGAGCTTAGATTCTCAGGGAATTCAAGCAGACAGCTGGACTGAATGTGCAGTAAACGAAGGGAGGAGAGGACTGTAAGGGAAGATGGCATGACTGTGATTTTATTGATGCATCCGTCCAGATACACCTCCCTCAGTTGCGACCTGAACGCCTGAAAAAACGCGTTAAGATCTGATTCGCTGATGGATAGATGTGGAGATGTGAGCGGGGAAAACGTAATGGAGGCTAGAGCTGGGCAGGCGAGTGGGAGGCGGGAGAGGAAGCTTCCTTGGTAGGCTTCTAAGCAGTTGGGTGACGTCGCAAGGCGACTGAGATAAGGGAATCTGGATAGGTATTTAAGGAGGTAAGCGATTCTATTGGGACGTTCTAGGTTGCTGTAGTTGAATCTTGAATTGTCGTTGCCTCTAAAATTATCGTGAACGGTACCCGTGCTGCTGCTGGTGCTGCCGCTGGTGCCAGTTTTAGTGCTGCTGCTGCTGGTTCTGCTGCTTCCGCTGACATTGCGGCCGACGCTTCTGCACGGAGGAGGCGGCTTCTGAGCGCCGAGAGAGGCGAAGAACGCGGAGGGAATGGAGGTTTGAATGAGACAAGCGACGCGAAGCCATCGCTTGCAAACAAGCGAAAGACGAAGCGGGGGAGAGTCGTTGACGGAAGCTAGACGGAGGACGGAGCTCAGGAGGTCATCTGATAAGCGGTCGACTGGCGGAGACGCCGCGTCAGGAGATGTCAGCATATCGTCTGGCAAACAGCTGGAAGCAACGGTCGAGGATCCGTCTAACGACGTATCGGAATAACACGGCATCTCTGATTTAAAAGGATAACCGGGTGCAAGAGCTAACCGAAGTAACTGAAGGATGCGAAACGGGCGGGAGGGAGGTAACCGAGGTATTGATGTGAGAAGACTAACTAATAATGGCTAACCTTGTGGTGATTAGATGACGAAGGTGTCGTTAGAGCAGACCGCGCTTGGTGTGACAGGAACGAGGAAATCGCGTGTCAGACGAACTCATTTAGAACTGGAGAGATTTCTGTCAGGTTTTCCAACTCTCGGTGTCAGAAAAGGCTCGTTGCTTGTCTGCACCTCAGTCACAGACTCCACCATTACATTGAGAATACGCCCTGAGTGCAGAAAGACCAGGGACCAGTGACCACAAGTAAACATGAAATCGGCCAACATTATTGATTTACAAAAGACAGACTGGACACATTCTCACATTTCCTTACGCAATATTCTCAAGGGTAGCTCTAGTAACTAAACCATTTCACCCAGCATGATTCATACTGAATAAGCGTTTTATTTACCACTGCAAAAAACTCAAACGCACATCAGTGCCAGCACCAGACCCAACATCATTCATTCCCGACTGCAGGGGTCCCACTCCGCCACCCGGCAAACGACAGCTGCCCTTCAAGCGTGGGGGAATCATCCACTGACACTCCGAGAGGAGAGAAGACGGCCGACTCGCACCGCCGAACCAGCGGATCAGATGTCACCAGCACATCACGTGCAAGCACTGCCGGCCTGCACTTAGAACTAGCAGCAGCGCTGCTGCCACCAGCAGCACCAGCAGCAGTGGCAGCAGCAGCCACAGCAGCAGCCATAGCAGCAGTGGCAGCAGCACTAGCAGACCCATCAGCAGGGATATTGCCATCAGCTGTAGCAACTCCTCTCTCTGCCCTCACTCCCCGACCTCCTCGCCCTCTGCTCCTCCCTGTCCTGTACCCTCCCCCTCCTCCTCCCTTTCCACCGCCTCCTGCTGCCCCTCCTCCTCCTCCCCTCCGCCTCTCCTCCCTCTCCCTCCTCCTCTCCTCCCTCCCATCCACTTCCCCCACCGCCAAACCTGCCATCCCAGCCATGGCAGGCGAGCTCCTCGACCTATCAAACTCCGCCACGCGGGCACGCAGGTTCGGCGACCGGTTCGGCGACAGGTTCGGCATGAGGTGCAGCTTCGGCAGATCGACCCTGAGCCTCCGCATCACATATGCTAACAGCTCCTCCTTATGTGCAAACGTGAAGTCCAGATGTGCATACTCAAACTCCCGGTACGACGCCTGCCGCCCGGCGGCCTTCAGCGTCTTGTAGTGCCAGTGGACCATCTCCCGGGGAATAAGACGGTCGCGCCGCCCGGCGACAACATCAATGGGGATATCAATAAGACGGTAATACGCTCCAATGTCGACTGCTTCGGGGGAGCCGTACACTGCGAGGTTTGCTGCGGGTGAGCCGTAGTCGAACATGATGAATCGGCGCTCGCGCTTGGTGAGAGCGAGGTGCTTCATGACGTTGTAGGCTATGCCAGGCATGTTGTACATGTTGTAATGGGGTTGCCTCAAAGCGCCCACCCAGTCGGACGAATCTCCCCCCACTATGATGTTCGAGATCAGAACCTGGAGCAAGAAAAAAGGGGGGAGAGAGGCGGAAAGAAAGAGCTGCAGCGATCAGCAGCGGTAGCAGTTGCTGGCGGTGAGCCGTAGTCGAACATGATGAATCGGCGCTCGCGCTTGGTGAGAGCGAGGTGCTTCATGACGTTGTAGGCTATGCCAGGCATGTTGTACATGTTGTAATGGGGTTGCCTCAAAGCGCCCACCCAGTCGGACGAATCTCCCCCCACTATGATGTTCGAGATCAGAACCTGGAGCAAGAAAAAGGGGGGAGAGAGGCGGAAAGAAGAGCTGCAGCGATCAGCAGCGGTAGCAGTTGCTGGCGGTGAGCCATAATCGAACATGATGAATCGGCGTTCGCGCTTGGTGAGAGCGAGGTGCTTCATGACGGTGTGAGTGATGCCAGGCATGTTGTACATGTTGTAGTGCAGCAGCTGGCGCAGCGCTCCCACCCAGTCAGAGGAATCCCCCCTACGATGATATTGGAGATGAGCACCTGTGTGTTGGACGTGGGATAAGGGAGACAGGAGGAGGGAGAAGGGAAAGCGAGGTGCTTCATGACGTTGTCTGCGATGCCAGGCATGTTGTACATGTTGTAGTGCGGCTGGCGTAGGGCTCCCACCCAGTCAGGGAGTCCCCTCCCACAATGATGTTCAAGATCAGCACCTCTGACAGTTGGGGAGGAGAGAGAGAGTAAGAGAGAAATGGTATCCAGGGCATGTTGTACATGTAAAAGAGCTGGCGCAGGCCCTGGGTGGGGATGTAGATGGCCGGCACATATATCAATTTACACAGGCACAGCCACTCTGCCACGCACCCACACACAGCCACATCCACAAATGTATCCATGCACAGCCACACACACACAGCCACACACACACAGCCACACACACACAGCCACACACACCTGCACCAGACACCTCAACGCGGGGAGGTTCTGAAAGTCCTGTGCAGGCTAGATTGTATAAGGGCAGGCGCAGGCCTTGGGTGTTTGTTTTTGTCAACTAAAAAAACTAGCCCTGGAAGGGGATGTAGACGGCCGGCAAACAACCACACTGCACTGCACATGCCCTCACCCACACATATCTGCACACTCACACCCACACACGAATACACCTGCAACAGCCATACCTGCACCAGGCACCTCAAGGCAGGGAGGTTCTGAAAGTCCGGTGCTAGCTTGCTGAAGAGCAGACGCAAGCCGTGGGTGGGGATGTAGACTGCTGGCACACACATCTATGATACACCGGCACACGCATAGATGTACCCATGCACACACATACACACACCTGAACCAGGCAGCGCAATGCAGGCAGGTTTTGAAAGTCCTGAGCTAGCTTGTTGAAGAGCAGGCGCAGGCCCTGCGTGGGGATGTAGACGGCTGGTACGGAGTGGGAGAGCCACGAGTCGACGTATGGCATGAGGAAGAGCATCACATCGAATAGGAGGGGGGTCTTCTCGTGGTAGCCTGTGGGGAGTGGGGGGGGAAGGGAGGATTGACAGGAAAACGGGAGGCACATAGCGGTGTGAGCACGGAATGGGAGAGCCACGAGTCGACGTATGGCATGGGGGAGAGCACTACGTCAAAGAGGAGAGGAGTCTTTTCATGGTAGCCTGTGGGGAGAAGGAGGGATGGATGGGGAGGAATGGCAGGGAGGGGCACGATGGAGGGAGGGAAGGGGGCTGGACGAGAGGGTGGAAGCGGTTGAGACGAAGAGGGTGAGACGACAAATGGGTGGGTCCGAGAGGGGGGAAGCGGTTGAGACGACGAGAGGTGAGACGAAGAGGGTGACACGACGAGAGGTGAGACGACGAGGGTCAGACGACGAGAGGTGAGACGACGAGGGTCAGACGACGAGAGGTGAGACGACGAGGGTCAGACGACAAATGGGTGGGTCTGACTGCTTATTCAACCAGCAGCAGTGAGACTCCTTATCCAATCAGCAGTGAATCCTAGAGGGGTCTCACCGGCAGGTGAACTCAACGGCGGGGGAGAGGAGAATGAGAGGAATGGCACTCACCAGCGGGGGAGAGGAGGATGAGGCGGGAGAGGCGGTGGGGCTGTTTCCGGATTAGCTGGGTGACGAGGTAGATCATCATGGCTGCCCCTCCCAGGCTGTGCGCCACTGCCTGCAGATGGTACGGCTGCTCCTCACTCCATGGTACCCCCTGCTGCTGCCCCTGCTGCTCCCCTTGCTGTTGCCCCTGCTGCTGCCCCTGCTGCTGTTGCTGCTTCTGATCTGAAGCCTCTGCAGCACTTGTTGCTGCTGTTCCTGCTGCTGCTGCTGCTGCTGCTGCTGCTGCTGCTGCTGCTGCTGCTGCTGCTGCTGCTGCTGCTGCTGCTGCTGCTGCTGCTGCTGCTGCTGCTGCTGCTGCTGCTGCTGCTGTCTCCCCATCCCTTCTATCCCCCTCCATCTCCGCCTCCCTCATCTCCTCCTCTCGCCTCACCCTCAGAGCATCTATCAGCGACACAGGAGCAGGCCTCACCTCGTGCCACCCTGGCTGCCACGTCATCACGCCATCCTGCATCGTCTGGCTGCCAGGTGTCCACCCAGAACCACCTGTACCCGATTGTGGCTTGTCCCGATACAGCGTATCAGCACCTCCTGCTGCTACTCCTGTATCGAAACCGTGACTATGTACAGCAGGCCCAGGGTGCAAGGATGAGTCACTGTGTACAAGGCCCAGGGCATCTAATGCTTCTGAAGGGCTACGCTGCCGCCACTCGTGCTGCTCCTGGCTCTGCTGGGGGTTCACGGCTTGCTGCTGCTGCTGCTGCTGCTGCTGCTGCTGCTGCTGCTGAGGTGGGACGAGAGAGGGACGGGGAGGAGGGGCGAGGTCGCGGATCTTGGTGTGGTGGATGCAGTCTATCATAGCTCGTATGTCACACATGCCATGCTCGTTCACGCTGTAGTTCCAGTACCTGGTGTGGAAGAGAGGGGGAAAAGAGAGGAAAGAGAGGGGGCAGGAGGCACGGAATTGGTATCTTGGTGTGATGGTTGCAATCGATCGTTGCTCGGACGTCACATTTTTTATTCGACTCAAAAAGGGAGAGCATGCATGTGTGTCGGTGTGTGGAGTATTTTTGAGAATTCTCAGCCATGAAGTTAGGCGAGCAGCAGTCTACATCGCCAAGGGAGAGCATGCATGTGTGTCGGTGTGTGGTGGATGCAGTCTATCACTGCTCGAATGTCACACATGCCGTGCTCGTTCACGCTGTAGCTCCAGTACCTGGTGATGGTGGGGCAAGGGGGAAAGGAGCGGGTAAAGAGGAGGCAGGAGGCAGAGCATATCGATGCAGCGAATTATGGCTCGTATGTCACACATGCCATGCTCGTTCACGCTGTAGCTCCAGTACCTGAGGTAGGGGAAGGGAGTGAACAGGCAAGTATCAGAATCGTCTCTGGCACAGAGTAACAGACACTAATCTAAATGAGGATACACATGATCAGATGTTGAAGTTTTATGCTCATGCTCGTGCTCGTGATTTCGTGATTACGTGATGTCGTGATTTCGTCCACTCCACCACCCACGCACCTGCTGGCAGAGATGCGCAGATCCACGTGCTGCCTCGTGACATAGCCCCGCATGTTGCTCTCAACACATGACCTCACATGCAGCCCACTCGTCCCCCACCCACCCCACCTGCTGGCAGAGATGCGCAGATCCACGTGCTGCCTCGTGACATAGCCCCGCATGTTGCCCAGAAACACGTCGAAGCCTGGAAGTTGGAGGGAAACAAGAGAAAGGAGAAGCCAGGGTAAAGATGGGAAGGGAAGGGAATTGAAGGAAAGGGAAGGGAATTCAAGGAAAGGGAATGGAATTGAAGGGAAGGGAAGGGAAGGGAAGGGAAGGGAAGGGAAGGCAAGGGAAGAGAAGGGAAAGGACAGGACCGAAAAGTGGGTGGGGAAGAGACAGGGGCGGGGACATGAATGGGAAGAGGATCAGAAAAAGTAAGAAAAACAAAACTACGAGCAAAAAAAAAAAAAAACACACGGGAAAGTGAGAATGAAACACGCTGGCGGCGCCTCTCACTCACCTTGGTCGTAGGCTGCGAATGCTTGAGATCCCACCACACCATTGGAAACCCACCTGTGAAGAAACATGTGAGAAGAAACAAGCAGGATCATAAGACACGCGAAGCACACACAAACCAGGTCTTGAGCCACTTGCACTCATAACCAAAGCACCCACCCACGCGAGATTTAGACATATCTCAGTGAGCTGCGTGCGTGTAGCAGGCTTAAAGCAAATCACAAACCAGGTCTTGAGCCACTTGCACTCATAACCAAAGCACCCACCCACGCGAGATTTAGACATATCTCAGTGAGCTGCGTGCGTGTAGCAGGCTTAAAGCAAATCACAAACCAGGTCTTGAGCCACTTGCACTCATAACCAGAGCACCCACCCACCGGTCCCCCCTGGCACTCACCTGATGCTTTCACTCAATGCTCCTCCCCTTCCCCCCCTCACCCAATGGAGCTGTCGAGAATGCCATGCTGCAGAAGCACCACCCTGGATGAGTCTTTTCCTCAAAATGAAAACCCCAAGCACTCAACATGCACTCACACATTGCATCCCTGGTCCCCGTGCTAACGCTCACCCAATGGAGCTGTCTAGAATGCCGTGCTGCAGGAACACCACCCTCAAAGAGTCCTTCCTTGGGATTCGCTCCAACGTGAGCACATACCCATCCTCTGTCACCACCTTGATGGCCTCGTACGGGTACCTGGTGTGCGCATAGGAGCAAGGAGGAACAAAACAGAGGTACATGAAGAATATGCAAGCCTGCATGTTCGAGTTTGAGCCTTTCCTTAATGGAGAATATAGCATGGATGTGAGTATGTGTCCTTCTTCTCAGGGTGCGCTCCAGACTGAGCAGTGAGCGCGTACCCATCCTCGGTCACCACCTTGATGGCCTCGTACAGTTCCTGGTGGGAAGATGGGAAAGGTGCCATGTAGAGGAGAAATGAGCGCAAGTGGACACATGTACTTGGGTCTGTCTGTACTTGGGTCTGTCTGTACTTGGGTCTGTCTGTACTTGGGTCTGTCTGTACTTGGGTCTGTCTGTACTTGGGTCTGTCTGTACTTGGGTCTGTCTGTACTTGGGTCTGTGTGTACTTGGGTCTGTCTGTACTTGGGTCTGTCTGTACTTGGGTCTGTCTGTACTTGGGTCTGTCTGTACTTGGGTCTGTGTGTACTTGGGTCTGTGTGTACTTGGGTCTGTGTGTACTTGGGTCTGTGTGTACTTGGGTCTGTGTGTACTTGGGTCTGTGTGTACTTGGGTCTGTGTGTACTTGGGTCTGTGTGTACTTGGGTCTGTGTGTACTTGGGTCTGTGTGTACTTGGGTCTGTGTGTACTTGGGTCTGTGTGTACTTGGTTGGGGGTTCTTCTCACTCCAGTGTGAGCACATACCCATCCTCGGTCGCCACCTTAATGGCCTCGTAGGGGTACCTGTTGTGGGGAGAGGAGAGTGGAGTGGCATGCATGAATGCAGGAGTTAAGGGTGCATATACTTCTAATTCTATCCAGCGTGCTTATGGGCCACTGCGCTCCAGTGTGGGCACGTACCCGTCCTCAGTTACCACCTTGATGGCCTCGTAGGAGTACCTGGTGGGGGAAGAGAGAGGTATGAGTGCATGAGTGCATGAGTGCATGAGTGCATGAGATGAGAGTATGGGTCCTTCTTCTAGGGATTCGCTCTAGTGTGAGCACGTACCACCTTGATGGCCTCGTAGGGGTACCTGACGGGGGAGGAAAGGTGTGGGTGAAGAAAAGGGGGGTGTGAGTGAGTGAGCGCACGGGTTCACGGGGATTCTCTCTCTCTCCGATGCGCTCCATTGTGAGCACGTACCCGTCCTCAGCCACCACCTTGATGGCCTCGTAGGGGTACCTGGTGGGACGGTACGAGCAAGGAGGAAAACAGAAGACATGTGAGTGTATGCAAGCCTGCTTGCAAAAGTAGTTGTACAATGGTGACTACAAGCTATCCAGCTCTCACCCAGCGTCCTTTGAGGCGCCTCAAAAGAACTCTCACCCAGCGTCCCTAATGATATCTTCACACGTCCGTCCATCCATGAGCCGTGGCCGATGCAGTGACTCAGCCCGCCTTTTAAGATGCCTCACTCGTAGACAACGACAACAAATAACAACCGCCACGTCACAATGACAAGCTATCCAGCACTCACCCAGCGTCTCGAATGATATCTTCACACATCCGGGCGTCCATGAGCCGCGGCCCATGCAACAGCGCCTCAGCGAGACTGCCGTTTGGTTACAAGGACGACTCCTAACAGGTACAATATACCACCAAGCCCATTCTCACCCAGCATCTCGGATGATATCTTCACATGTCCGTGCGTCCATGAGTCGCGGTCCATGCAGCGCCTCAGCTTGCCGCAGCCGCTGCTGCTGCTGCCACCGGCTCTGCCCCTGCTGCTGCTCGTTCTGCTGCTGCTGCCGCTCGTGCTCCTCCTGCTGCTGCATCTGCAGCTGCGACAGGTGCGCCGCCGACCTACTCTCGGGTGCCACATCTGCTGCTGGTGCACTGAACGCAGCAGCACCCCAACCCCCACTGGCATCAGCACCACCAGCAGCAGCCCCCCCAGCAGCAGATGCGGCAGCTTCAGGTGAGGGTTGAAGGCCCTGTGAGGGCGCGACTGGGAGGCCTAGGAGGCGCAGCAGCGGAGTGAAGAGGAAGGAGAGGAGCCGCCAGGGGAAGAGGCAGAAGAGCAGCACCGACCGCACGGCGTCAAAGAAGCGCTCAATCACGAGCTCCCAGAAGAGCTGCAGATCCTCCAACACGCCATGCCTGCATGGGCCATACCAAAAGAAAGAAACGGTAAGGAGCTGAAGAGGAAGGAGAGGAGCCGCCAGGGGAAGAGGCAGAAGAGCGGCACTGACCGCACGGCATCAAAGAAGCGCTCAATCACGAGCTCCCAGAAGAGCTGCAGATCCTCCAACACTCTGTGCCTGCACAGACAGAAGAGGTGGGGGGTACAGTACGGTGAGGAGATGGATCATTCGCCTGCAGTTAAGACCAGCTCCCTCTAAACGAGACGACCACACGGCATCACAGAAGCGCTCGATGACCAGCTCCCAGAAGAGCTGTAGATCCTCCAACACCCCGTGCCTGCACAAACCATGCATATCACACAAAGGCGCAGCAGCGGAGTGAAGAGGAAGGAGAGGAGACTCCAGGGGAAGAGGCAGAAGAGCAGCACCGACCAATCACCAGCTCCCAGAAAAGCTGTAGATCCTCCAACACGCCATGCCTGCATGGGCCATACATATTATACAAAGGAGCAGGAGTGGAGTGAAGCACCGAGCGCACGGCATCAAAGAAGCGCTGAATGACCAGCTCCCAGAAGAGCTGCAAGTCCTCCAACACGCCGTGCCTGCAGAGATATTCGTGTGGCTTTTGAGAATTCTCAAAAGCCAAGTCCTCCAACACGCTGTGCCTGCAGAGACAGAATAAAAGAGGGCATGTGCAGTGCAGCAGGTAGGTTGTAAATCATCTACTCAATCACGTGCTTGCAAATGAAACCACCGACCGCACGGCGTCAAAGAAGCACTCGATCACCAGCTCTCAGAGGGCATGGTCACACAGACGCTACATCCTACCTGCGGAAATCATTCAGGTGGTTCATGTTGAGATGCGTCATGTACTCAAACACGTCCCCCAGTCGCTTCCCCAGATCCACACTCGCGATCGACAGCTGGCGCGAGAGACTGCTGGAGCTGCTGCTGCGGCTGTGCGGGCCGAACCTAGGGCTGAAGATCGGGTAACCAGGCCAGGCCTGGACGGGGGTGGCAGGAGGGGAGGCAGTAGTACTATCAACGGCAGTTGGAGCAAGCGTATCAGCATCAGCAGCAGCAGCAGCAGCAGCAGCAGCAGCATCATCAGCAGCGGCGGTGCCTGCTCCTCTGGCTTTGTACATGTCTGGTGCTGCTGCTGTTGCTGCAGCTGCGGCTGCTCCTTCCGAGGATACTGCTGCTAGTGCCCCAGCAGCAGCTGCTGCAGCAGCAGCGGAGGCGGCGGTAGCAGCAGCAGCGGCAGCGGCAGTGGTGGCGGGAGCAGAAGAGAGGGTGGGCGTACTATGGGAAGAGGGGGAGGGGGTTTGGTGTGAGGCCGAGGGGTCGAAGGAGGAGAAAGACGGGGGATGGGGCATCTGGCGACGAATGGTAGGATCTACGGTGCTGGGAGGCCTGCCTTGATCATCCAACGGCTGTTGTTGATTGAGTTGATGGTGGTTCCCTAGATGCTGCTGCTGCTGTTGCTGCTGATGTTGCTGCTGCTGTTCCTGGTGGTGATGTGGCTGCTGATGCTGATGCTGCTGCTGCTGATGGTGGTGGTGGTAGTGGTGGTGGTGGTGGTGTTGCTTACCATGCCCATCCATAACCCTGAACCCAAACACCCACAGCAGCGGCCACAGGAAAAACAAAACCCACCTCCACAGCCATCCCCAAATCCCTGTAGCATCCCCCACTCCATTCCTCTCCCCAACCCCACTCCTCTCCCTCAAAAACGGACTAGGCGATCTGCTTCTGTCAAAGCTGCTGCTGCTGCGACTAAGGGGACTCGAAGGCAGAGAGTCAAACGCACCCCTCCTTCCTCCTCCTCCACCTCCACCCATGCCCCTCCTCCTCCTCCTTGCTGTTCCCCCTCCTCCCCTGCTGCTACTGCTGCTACCAATGCTGTGCATCGACGCCCTGTCGTCGTCGTCATCCTCGTTATTGTCCTCCTCGCTATCCGTGTCGCTGTCCTCGTTTTCGTCGTCCCCGTTACCGTAGTTGGAGCTGGAGTCGAGGTGGAACTCGTCTATAGTGTCGACGAACTCGTGTAGAAAAGCATTCAAAGAGGAACCACCCCTGTTGGAAGGGAAGGGAAGAGCAAGACAGAAGAGGGAACAGAAGAGCAGGGAAGTGGAGAGCAGAGACCAGGGGAAGAGACAGAGTGGGAAACGGATGAAACGCGTTCAGGGAGGAACCACCTCTGTCTGTTTGGAGTGGAAGGAGGAGCAGACCAGGGAAGAGAGAGATAGAATAGGATACGGATGAGTAAGAAACACGGAGGAAAAGGGAGCGGAAACCTGAGTAGGAGAATGGAAAAAACCAAGAGCAAGGACGCAAATGCAGGGTAACGGAATCCCACTAGAGAGTATCTATCATATCTCCAAATCCCAATCACCACAGCAGCGCAGCTGCACTGTAACGTACTGCGCCATCCAGGTGGGCAGGCACAGGGAGCGAAGGGCAGGAAGAAAAAGAGTACCTTCTGTCTAATCTAAATCCACCCTCCCCACCCCCTCTTCCCCCCCTCCCCACCCCCTTTCCTCCCCAGCTACAATACAGCGTACTGGGCCATCCAGGCGGGGAGGCGGGGGGAGCGGAAGGTGGGGCGGAGGTCCCAGGAGCCATGGAGCCCTTCGGTGATGGGCGACTTGTTGGGCAGACACGCCAGCACCAGCGCTGACGCCGAGTTGACTCGCCCATCCATCCATCACGCACCTGAACCCACGTATGCACTGAGCCATGCCAGGTGCGGGTAGCGGATAGCAGGGCAAGAGTACCTTCTACCTTCCATTTCCTCTGCTGTAAAGCTCTTCCCCCTTCCCCCCCAACACCCCCAGCTACAATACAACGTACTGGGCCATCCAGGCGGGGAGGCGCGGCGAGCGGAAGGTGGGGCGGAGGTCCCAGGAGCCATGGAGCCCTTCGGTGATGGGCGACTTGTTGGGCAGACACGCCAGCACCAGCGCTGACGCCGAGTTGACAAAGTTGGCCGTGTTGTGGAACGCCTCGCGAGAGGCGGCTTTGACGGACCTGTAAACGTTGACAGAAAACGTGACAGAAAACGCGATGGACGGAAAAAAACACGAGTTCGGGAAGAGACCAGGTAGAGTAATTGCGCACCCACGACTTATTCAGATTTTTTTTTCCAAGGCGCCTCAAGATAGCCAGATGCAATTGGAGTCTGGACGTATCCTGGACTCGGGACGGATACGTGACGGATTCCGTTTTCAGACCTCTGGATCGACTCTGTAACCTGACATCCATTTCTTGCGGATGATCAAAACAGAGAATCCCTGATGCCAAGGCTTTGGAACAGATGACATACGGTGGAGATGGATTCAAAACGGTATCTTTGGGACTCCAAAAACTACTACAAACAGATGTCTGGATCCCATGCCGCGAAGCTCGAAACAAGAGAACGAGGAAACGGAAACGAGGAAGAAAGAAAGTGATACCATGAGGACGACACAAAAGAAACTGGATGTAACAGTTTCACACGAATTCTTTCCTCTGCCTCGCAGCGGCTCTGACGGTCTTCTGAGACGCCTCAAATGCAACAGACTCAAAGCAAACGCGGAATCTGAGTCAAGACAAAGAAAGGGCTCTAACGGCGTGATGTGGGTACGGATTCAAGCTGAACCTACTCCTTGGCCACCCCCACGGCGTGGTCCACTATCCTCTGCATCCTTTTGAGTCGACTCAAAAGTTAGTTCCCACGCGCAAGAACTCTAACGGCATGAGTTGAATGAGGACCAAAACGGAACTTACTCCTTCGCCACCCCGACGGCGTGATCCACTATCCTCTGCATCCTTCCCTGCTGAGAGACAACTCCTGATGCCAGGCAACCAGGAAGTAAACGAAGCTGACCTTCGGCCTACAGTTTAGCGACTAAGTCGACTAAGTGAATTAATGAAACACGGGCGGTATCATCGTAGCACTCTGACCTTTGTTCCTAAATGAGAAGCTCTAAACGGCTTCCGGCCTACGCGCTGATAGATCCCTGTATGGCAGCTTCCAGCGAGACACGCGAGACAAGACGTCGTCCGGTGCTGAGCTATAATCGGTTCTAAGACAGAATTGCGGAATTACGGAGATGGCTCCGTCCCGTGATCAAGATGCGGGAAACGCGTCTTGAAGGGAGTTCCTAAGGCTGGCTGGCTGGAATGATCGCCTCGCCTCATCATCACCACCTCCAAAAGGTCCTCCTCACTGACTAGATCACTCAACGGACAAGGCTGGTCGCGTTTGTGTCTCGACTCGACAGTGTAGGTCCTATTCAGAACATTGTGACGTCACTTTTCGAATTCGAAGGTCTCGAGGAACTGCAGTCTGGTAGGTTTGCTCTTGAGTTTGTTTGGCAATCAAGAAGGGTCGTACCCTCCACTCAACAGAATACACAAATTGCTCCTCGGTTCGATCCGAGCGAACATGAACAATGAAACACTCCCTTCTCCGGACCAGCATTACCTAGCTTCCAGAAGGTTTGGTTTTACCCGAGCCTGCGTCTTCGCCTTTTGTTCTCCAGCTAAGCCAAACGTGACCTACACATCACACTGGACCGTCGCCAGCAGGGCTGGTTCGGCATGCACGAGAGAGGTGCGGCGAAAAATGGTTGTGCGCGCTGGCGCTGACATGGATGTTGCGGAGACAAGCTGTCGATACTCTGATCTGGCACAATGCTATCCCCGATATGAGACGCCTTTTTGAATTCAAACATCAGCGAGTGTATCCATTTGAAAATCGTTTCTGTTACAGAGGGCGTTGGATCTGTCCAGTTTTCACAGGCACATCCTCGTCAGTATCAGGGCACTTTAAGCATAGCATGGCGAAGCGCCCTGGTAGCCCTGCCATTTATAATCTCCAGTCCAACTTATTACCTAAGTTCGATTCGCGTGTAACTTCTCCTCTACCGCGTAAGTAAGCCCACGTTCCTACAGGCCGTCGGTTTCTTGCTTGAATTCAGCCTTCACTCAGACATCCGTGCCATTCGCACATTGCAAGCCAACAGTAGCTTGTGACAGTAACTACCTGTGACAATAACGGAGGGTTAGGAGCAACCATGTCGAGCATATACGTGCTCGAGCCGCCGACGCAAGGCAAGGTGGTGGTTACCACCACGTTGGGCGATCTCGATATCGAGCTCTGGCCTCGTGAAGCCCCGAAAGCGGTGAGATTTTCCTTTCCCTGCAGCAAAATCCTGGTAACCAGTAACACTCCGGCATTGGGTGGTTACCATCAGCACCTTGGGTGAGCGTGAAGCCGCCAAACGCGGTGAAATTTCGGCTTCCCGGCAACGCTAATGTGGTAACCAGCTCTGCTGTAGCGCAGTACCGATGTGGTAACCAGTACCATTGTAACAGCTGTTGGTTACCATCACTGTAGTAACCACAACCAGTGCCTCGGGTGACCTGACCTTGATATGTCCTTGCTTACTCGTAAAGCAAAGCAAGCAGCATTCAGATTCCTCCATCCATCACAGTGACCATAAGAAACTGTAAGACCGCCTTGTGCGACCTTGATATTGAACTGGCAGGGTGATTGAAATGCGATCACGTGAAGCCCCAGAGTGCTGAGTATAATTCCATCTTTTTCCTCCTTGTTCCACCTTCCGCCTCTCTGCCTCTCACCCCCCATCACCTCATCACTCTTCATCTCCCCTCATCATCCCTCATCCCTTCCCAATCATCCCCCTGTCAGGTGCGAAATTTCGTGCAGCTGTGTCTGGAGGGGTATTACGACAAAACCATCTTTCACCGCATCATAATTGGCTTCATGGTGCAGGTGAGTCCTGGTGCAGGTGATAACTGGTGCAAGTGATATCTGAAGGGTACTACGACAAAACCATCTTCCACCGCATCATAATTGGCTTCATGGTGCAGGTGCGACCTGGTGCAGGTAGCACTCGGTGCAGGTGAGATTCGGTGCAGGTGAGATTTGGTGCAGGTTACACCTGGTATAGGTGAGATTTGGCCCAAGTAACACCACGTGCAAGCAAAACTGGTTCTGAAGTAGCTCACAACTCGTTACCCACCGCATGATCACGGGCTCATGGTGCAGGCGAATGAGATTCAGATTCAGCTGCGCCTCATTCATTCATCAACCTCATCCGCCTTTTGAGGCGCCTCAAAAGTCGGCTCACAACTCGTTTCCCACCGCATGATCAGATCAGTGGCTCATGGTGCAGGCGAATGAGATTCAGATTCAGCTGCGCCTCATTCATCAACCTCATCCGCCGCTCCCTCTCCTCTCACATTCGAGGGTGGAGACGGAGAACTACTGACAGGATCAGGCACGGGGGTCGGGGTGAGTCCATCCACGGGGAGCCTGTCAAGGGCGAGTTCCTCTCACACCTGCGCCTCACCCTTTGCCAGTCCTTACGTTATCCACACGCATCTCCTCCCATGCTCCAGGGAGGCGGCCCTACAGGATCAGGCACGGGGGTCGGGGTGAGTCCATCCACGGGGAGCCTGTCAAGGGCGAGCTCCACTCGCGCCCCCGCTTCTGCCCTGGCTAGTTCATCTTACCTTCTCCACTCTCCATCTCCTCGCATTTGCAGGGAGGCGACCCAACCGGGTCCGGGACAGGGGGCGAGTCGATCTACGGCGAGCCGTTCAAGGACGAGGTCCACTCGCGCCTGCACTTCTCCCTAAGCTAGCTCTCTCTCTAATCTCACCCTCTTCTCCGCATCTCCTCCCACACCGCAGGGCGGGGACCCCACAGGATCCGGGACAGGGGGCGAGTCGATCTATGGAGAGCCTTTCAGGGACGAGTTCCATTCTCGCCTGCGCTTCTCCCACCGCGGCCTTGTGGCGTGTGCCAATGCGGGTGCGCCCCACAGCAACGGCAGCCAGTGGTTCTTCACTCTGGATCGCTGCGACTGGCTGGACAAGAAACATACTATCTTTGGCAAGGTGGGTGGGTCACCAGCTTTGGTAAGGTGTGCTGGTATGGCAGGCGTGTATGTGCAGGCATGATAGCACTGGTGCGCTGTGTTGAGGAGGCAATGTGGGCATGCCTCACAGCAACGGCAGCCAGTGGTTCTTCACCCTGGACCGGGGACAAGAAACACACTATCTCTGGCAAGGTGGGTGAACAGGCATGGTATGACAGGCATGTGTGGGCGGGTACGAGTGCTGGTGCATCGAGGCGCCAACGCAGGCATGCCCCACAGCAACGGCAGCCAGTGGTTCTTCACTCTGGACCGCTGCGACTGGCTGGACAAGGAACATCCTATATATGGCAAGGTGGGTGGGTGGGTTGCTGTTTCTAGCAAGGTGCGCTGGGCATGGCATGAATTGGCATGGCAGGGGTGTATGGGCAAGCAGGCATGCTTGTACTGGTGTGTTGAGGCGGCAACGCGGGCGTGCCCCACAGCAACGGCAGGTGGGTGCATGGCATGGCATGGCATGGTGGTATGGTATGGTATGGTATGGTATGGTATGGTATGGTATGGTATGGTATGGTATGGTATGGTATGGTATGGTATGGTATGGTATGGTATGGTATGGTATGGTATGCATGGACAGGGAGGCATGCATATGACTATCAGCAGGAGTTGGCCTGAGTCAGCATGAGTCAGCATGATTCAGCATGAGTCAGCCTGGGTCAGCATGAATCTACATGCGTCTGCAAGAGCAATTGTATGAGTCAGCGCCCTTAACCCTCCCTCCCCAACCCTCCGCAGCTCCCCCTGGCAGATCACAAGAGACAAGACGCCGCCTTCAATGTGGTGCAATTGGGGGTGGTGGATGGATAGTTTTTGAGGCGTCTCAAAAACACCCTCTCTACACGTGCCCAACCCTCCCCTGCTCCGCCTGGCAGATCACAAGAGACACCATCTTAAATGTAGTGCGATTGGGGGTGGTGGATGGATAGTGACGCCAATCACAGACCCCTTTCCCCCCTTATTTTTCAAAATTTCCCCTCATTCCCCTGCCTCACACCTGGCAGATCACAGGAAACACCATCTTCAATGCGGTTCGACTGGGGGAGGGTGTTACTACTGATGGCTATGACAGACCTCTTTCCCCTGCTTCCCTCTTTGTTACTACTGTGTCCCTCTCCCTCCTCCCTCAACCCCCCCTCTTCACTCGCTCATTTTCACACACACCTGGCAGATCACAGGGGACACCATCTTCAATGCGGTGCGACTGGGGGAGGTGGATACTGATGACAACGACAGGCCGTTTGACCCACCATCGATTATCAGCGTGGAGGTGAGTCAGCAAAAGCCAGCATGAGTCAGCATTAGTCAGCATGAGCCAGCATGAGTCGACATGATTCAGCATGAGTCAGCATGTGTGAGCTTGAGTCAACATGAGTCAACATGATTCAGCATGAGTCAGCATGAGTCAGCATGAGCCAGCATGAATCAGCATCATGCGAGATGTGTTCCTGAAAGGCAGCTCGTGTGCAATGGAAAAGGTATCTTGTCTCATGGTGTACTGTCGTCTCTTTGCTACTAACACGACCCATCCTACTGCTGCCATGCCCTTCTTCACGGGCAATGATCCTTGGGTATCCTGACTCATGAGCCCTAAACCCCTGCTTTGTTCTCAACGATGTGATGCAGCCCTCTCTTGATTGTCTCTGGCTGGACCTTGACCATTGTCTCAATCAACAACACATTGTCATCGCATCCTTTCTCAACAACCCGCCCTCCCTTTCTTGCATTGCAGGTCATTTGGAACCCATTCGAAGACACCGTTCCCAGGACACTGCCTGCAAGACAGCAGCAGATTGTCTCACACAACTCAAGGCACTGTCATCACACACCCTCTTTGAAAAGCCCTCCCTCCCTTCCATTGCAGGTCATCTGGAACCCATTCGAAGACATCGTCCCCAGGACACTGCCTGCAAGACAGCAGCAAGAAACCATGGCGAAGAGCCGGGGCAGGGACAAAGAGAAGCGGCGGCAGCAGCAGTCTCAGGTCAAAGGAACCAAGTAAGCTGAGCGAAGCATTTGAATAGGCGCTTAGACCAGAATTGCAACCCGTGAGCACAATGTAGGGACAAGGTAGGGAGAAGAAGAAGCGGCGCAGCAGCAATCGCTCGCAGATCCAGGGAACCAAGTAATCTGTTGAGCTGCCTTTGTAGGCGATTTTTGAGGCGCCTCAAAAAGCTGCCTTTGTAGACGACCAAATAGACCAAATATTTCTGCCCTAACCAGTCAATGCCAAGACGAGCCAGGGCATGGACAAGGAGAAGCGGTGGCAGCAGCAGTCTCAGTCAAAGGAACCAAGTAAGCTGAGCGAAGCCAAGCGTCATGATGGTCCCGAAGTAAGGCATAAAAGTGCCAGGTAAACCAGGCATGTTGATGATACTCTTGGTCTTGGCCTGTTCTTGGCTGTGTTGCCGTTCTCTTAGCCAACTTGTATGTGTTTTCACGTTGCCATTGAACTGCCTGCTTCACCCCCTATTCTTGCTCACCAGGCAGTTGAATCTCCTGTCGTTTGGAGAGGAGGCGGAGGAGGAGGAGGCTCAACTGGAGGAAGCTAATTTGAGGATGAGGAGCAGTCACGATGTGCTCAAGGACCCTCGCCTGCTGGCTGTGAGCATTGGGAGGGGGTGTTTGGGAAAAAAGGGAGATGGAGGAGGGATAGGATGGGGAAGCGAGGGAGGAGGCGCAACTGGAAGAAGCGAATTTGAGAATGAGGAGCAGCCACGATGTGCTCAAGGACGCTCGCCTGCTGGCTGTGAGTGAATAGGGGATCATGGGAGGAGGGGAATTTAGGGGGTTTCAACTGGACGAGCTTCAGCTGGGGAAGGCTCAGCTGGGGGGAGGAGGCTCAGCTGGGGGGAGGAGGCTCAGCTGGGGAAGGCTCAGCTGGGGGAGGCTAATCTGGGGATGTGAATCAGGCACGGCTTTGGAGACTTGAACTGGAAGTTATTGCTAGATTTTGTAGTCACTCAATTGAAATATATTCCTGATTTTAGTCAAAATTCTCTCCCCTCAAACGGTCCTTGGTATTAATGCGGGTGTTAATCACTCTCCTCTCCTACCCAGGAAAGAGCAGCAGCAGTTCAGAAGAAGCTGGCCAGACGGGGAGGTAAATCAGAGATTCTAAGGCTTCTCAGAATATATTTTCCCCAATATGTTCCTTTTCTCATTTTATTATCAGGAGACAGCAGAGGCTGTTCAGCAAAAGCTGGCCGGACGGGGAGGGGACGCAGAGGGGGAAGAGGAAGACGAGGAGAATGGGCGAAGAGAAGGGGGGAGAGAAAGGGAGAGGGGAGGGGGTAGAGAAAGGGAGATGCTTGTTAGAGGGAGAGATGGTGGCAGACAAGGGGAGGGTGCTGACGGTGAGGGTGGGAGCAGGAGAGGCAGGAAAGGGGAAGAGACGGGTGGAAAGAGGGGGAATAAGGGCAGTTCAGTGGGTCCTGAGGAAGTAAGGGGGAGGGAGAGAGGAGGCAGGGAGGAGAGCGGAGGTGAGGGAGAGGGGCAAGGTGATGGTGAGGAAGCAAGTTTTGATGAGCTGATGAGGAGAAGGGTGTTGGAAAAACAAAGACGGTTTGGGAAGCATGGGGTTGCGAGTGAGGGGGGGCGGAGAGGGGAAAAAACAGGGAGAGGAGGAGTGGGAGATGGAGGGGAGAGGGAGGGGAAAGGTGCAGCGAGGATCCAGGATGGGGCTGGCACCAGGGAGCAGGCAAAAGGGGGACGAGCGAAGGAGGAACGAGGAAAAGGGGAGGAGGATGATGAGGATGGGAGTGGTGACAGTGATGGTAGTGATGGGAGTGATGATGAGGAGGGAGGGAGAGGAGGGAAGGGGAGGGTGAGGGTGGAGAAGCTGCGATTGAGGAAAGGGGCGAAGGGAGTGGGGAAGGGAGGAGGGGAGGGGGGAGGAGGGGGAGGTTCAGCGGGAGGGGGTTTGCTGGGGGAGGAGGAGGAGAGGCGGCAGCAGATGAGGCAGAGGAAACGAGCTCTGGGGTCCAGACAAGAGAAAGTGAGTGAGAGTGCTGAAGGGTTGGGCAGTATTTCTTAGGGTGCATGGAAGTTTGAATCGACTCAAAAAACGGTTTCCTGGGTCGCGTGGTTTGTGGTGGGAAGTCGGCTGTCATGGACTTGTGGCTTGTTTAGAGTCGACTCAATGTTTCGAGTCGACTCAAAACGTGGCTGGTGGGAAGTCAGGCTGTCGTGGACTTGTGGCTTGTTTAGAGTCGACTCAATGTTTAGAGTCGACTCAATGTTTAGAGTCGACTCAAAACGTGGCTGGTGGGAAGTCAGGCTGTCGTGGACTTGTGGCTTGTTTAGAGTCGACTCAATGTTTCGAGTCGACTCAAAACGTGGCTGGTGGGAAGTCAGGCTGTCGTGGACTTGTGGCTTGTTTAGAGTCGACTCAATGTTTCGAGTCGACTCAAAACGTGGCTGGTGGGAAGTCAGGCTGTCGTGGACTTGTGGCTTGTTTAGAGTCGACTCAATGTTTCGAGTCGACTCAAAAACGTGGCTGGTGGGAAGTCAGGCTGTCGTGGACGTGTGGCTTGTTTAGAGTCGACTCAATGTTTCGAGTCGACTCAAAACGTGGCTGGTGGGAAGTCAGGCTGTCGTGGACTTGTGGCTTGTTTAGAGTCGACTCAATGTTTCGAGTCGACTCAAAACGTGGCTGGTGGGAAGTCAGGCTGTCGTGGACTTGTGGCTTGTTTAGAGTCGACTCAATGTTTCGAGTCGACTCAAAACGTGGCTGGTGGGAAGTCAGGCTGTCGTGGACTTGTGGCAAGGAATAAGCTCATGGAAATGGCGTTAGACCGAGATGGATTGCCCCCGGTGCATTTATGAGTTGACTTTTGAGTCGAGTTCACTTTTGAGGCGAGTCAAAGTGGACTTTTGACTTTTGAGTCGAGTCAAAAGTTGACTTTTGACTTTTGAGTCGACTCAATAGTCAACCCGAGATGGATTGTCCCCGGAGCATTTATGTTATTACAACGGTCACAAAGTTGTGATTCGACGTTTCAGAATTAGCTTTGCGTTAGTATAACCTTTTTTGTCTTTTGTTATTGCTGAACTCCGTATACGAACAGAGTGCTGTGATAAAGGTAGTGTTTTGAGACGTCTCAAAACACTACTTTTACCATGTGGCTTTGCATTAGTTTGACCTTTTTTTTCTACTGTTATTGCTGAACTTCGTATACGAACAGAGTGCCTGGGTCTTAGAGCTGCATGCGTGTTGGCCTTTTGGAATTTCATTTTGCCATTCCGTTTCCTCTCCATTGTCCCTCCCTCTCCATTGTCCCTTCCTCTTCCCTGGCTCGACCCTCCTTCATCCCTCCCTCATCCCTCCCCCAGACGCTTGAGCTTGTGAACCGCTTCAAGTCCAAGCTAGCGGCTTCCAAGACAGTGCAGCCGAGAGAAAGGCTAACTTCCCAGTATTGCAACGCCTCACAACCCCGCCCCACCCCCTCCCCACCACACCCCACCCCTTTCCTTCCCCGTCCCTCCCTCCCTTGCCTCTCCTTTGTCCCTCTCCCAGACGCTTGAGCTTCTGAACCGCTTCAAGTCCAAGCTAGCGGCTTCCAAGACAGTGCAGCCGAGAGAAAGGCAAACTTCCCAGTATTGCAACGCCTCACAACCCCGCCCCACCCCCTCCCCACCACACCCCACCCCTTTCCTTCCCCGTCCCTCCCTCCCTTGCCTCTCCTTTGTCCCTCTCCCAGACGCTTGAGCTTCTGAACCGCTTCAAGTCCAAGCTAGCGGCTTCCAAGACAGTGCACCCAAGAAAAGCACGCACTGCCCAGTATTGCGAAGCCTCACAACCCCGCCCCACCCCCGCCCCCTCTCCTTCCTTCCCCGTCCCTCCCTCCCCCTCCCCCAGACGCTTGAGCTTCTGAACCGCTTCAAGTCAAAGCTAGCAGCTTCCAAAACAGTGCAGCCGAGAGAAACACGCACGGACGAAGACAAGGAGGAGGGTGCAGATGAGGGGAGAGCGGACAGAAGAGATAGGGAGAGGGAAGGAGAGAGAGGCAGGGACGGGAGTAACAGCAGCAAGGAGGGCAGCAGAAAGCGAGGGTTTGTTGGTTCAGAGGGGAAGGGACCGGGAGCGGCGGCATATGGGCCGGGGGGGAAGGCGAGGCAGGATGTGGGAGGGGATGGAGAGGAGGAGGACGAGGAGGGTGGGGGCGTTGATTGGATGGCTCACCGGCTGAAGTTTGAAGTGAAGAGGAACAAACGGGTGAGTTGTGGGGGGTGGGTGAGTATAGGGATTGGGGGGGAGATGCTTTCCTCCTCCCCATTCGCGATGAGATGACGACCGGGATCAGTACGCGGTGCACGTCCTTTGAGGCACCTCAAAAGGGATCAGTACGCGGTGCACGTCCCTCTGCTGGATGAACCCACGCCTTCTCACTCGTGCCTGTTTCCGCTACTCCTTTGCCTTCTCTGCCTCTCCTACGTCCTGTGCATGCCCCTTCTCCATCCCCATCAGGACGAGATGCTTCGCAATGATGACCCGGATCAGTACGCGGTGCACGATCCGCTGCTGGAGAAGGGAAAGGAGAAGTTCAACAAGATGCAGGCCAGGATGAAGAAGAGAAACCGAGAGTGGGCGGGCCGGTCGCTGGACTGATTTGGATCGGTACGGAGGATGTTTGAAAGAGTTTGACTGGGTGTTGGCGATCAGTACGTTACGCGGTGGATGACCCTCTGTAGGAGAAGGGCAAGGAGAAGTTCAACAAGATGCAGGCCAAGATGAAGAAGAGAAACAGGGAGCGGGCTGGCCGGTTGCTGGACTGATGGAATGAGGGTATCCCAAATGCCGACATCAATCACAGATTTTTAAGTCAAGAATCTCATTTCCCACGCATGAATAGCAGCTGTTATTTCCCGGATGGCGAGGTGGGCTCGGCCCCTGGTGCTAACAATGAGGCTGGCACAGATGCTGGCACTAATACCTAATAGTGGAGTATTGCAGTGGAGGCGAAGAAGCATTATTCAGCAGCGCTCTCTCACTGATGCTGCACCAAGCGGTTGGGGGTTATCGAGGCTTTGTCGAGTGCTACCGTACTACTACCGTTCTACGTAACCCAGCGGACCGAATTTGTGTAACATTTAGTTGGAACCTTTAGCACATCAATGTAGGCTGGCCTTTTCTCTGTACCAGTATAGGGAGGTTTCCCACTATACCGCATGATGGAAGTGTGGTACGGTATCGGACCTGCAATGCCGATCCACTCCGCTAAGGTCATTGAAATTAATCACAACAGGAGTATTATTTTGAGGGGGAAATGCTTGATCCTTATGCTTCATGACCCAAAATACGAATACAGATTGCCCTTTCTTACCTGTGTTCAGGGCCTCAGATTCGTTTTGGGTGACCCTGAGCACTCAGGGTCCTTTGGGGCTGTAACACTGATCATCAGGGTTGTAAATGGAGAAACACTGATTTCTCAGGGTTAGAAAAAAAAAAACCCTGACACATCAGCGTGAGTTAAAAAAAAAACACTGGCGGTGAGAATCCACAACTATCACAAGTATAATAAGTTAAGAAAAGTTCAAATATGGTTCTAATGAGCTTCTAATCTAACTACAGGCACAGACCAATTGGCGCTCACACCGCACACACAATTCACATCACACACATGTCTTCATCTTCGTCACTACCACCACCATCGCTCATAGAACCGTGCCTGTGCAGGGGGGTCTCTGTCCCCCACCCAGAGCCAGCACCACCAGCATCATCCTCGTCCACCTTCTCTTTCCACTTAGCACGAGGTTGCTTCTTTGGTGCTGCCACTGTTGTGATGGGCTTGCGCTTCTTGTACGCCCTCCAGATATTCACCACCTCCGCCCAGTCGGGCTCGTATGGCAGCAATGCCATGCACATGAGGTCCGACAACCGCGCATCCTTGATGGCACCCCTCAGCCAGCTCTTGATGATGTTTTGACGCGAGAACCCCCGCTCGCACTCGACTGTGCTCAACGGTAGCACAGCGACAGCCATCCACAGCTTCACCAGGTTGGGGTACGCGTCCTCCCAGTCAGGAGACTTCAGCATCGCCGAGAGACCCGGGTAGAACTTTCTCTCGGACTTCGGGGCTCCAGCGAGAACCGTGCAGAACGTGCGGAGCTCCTTGAACGCCTTCTTCTTGTTGACACCTGGAGGGAGTCAGGGAGTGCGCAAGCACAAGGAAAAGAACAAGGTAAGCAAGGCTCACTAGACAAGTGGTGCCAGTGTTTAGGTGCTACACAACAAAGCAGCACAAACAACGATGCACAGACCAAAGAGAAGTACGTACTTGGAACAATCTCGTCGCTCTCTTGGGCCCTGAAGAGCATCGTGAGGGACTCTAGGTGCTCCGTGCAGACCATGGAACGCTCCTGCCGTCCATGGGGCCACTCGTCGGGCATGAACAGCTTCACACCGCTCAGCTTGTCGAGTGAACCCAATCGCTCATCCAGGTTATGCACGAGCGCCTCCGCCATCGCCGTGCACTGCTCCACGAATCGCTCATGGGTCCCTGCAATGGGGTAGCCTTCAAGGGGGGAATCATGCAGCACATAGCAGTGAGAAGTGGGCCGGCCGTCGGAGTCAACCCACTCGACCTCCACTCTCCGCACCCCATTCGGTCCATGTCGTGCAATGAAGGGCGACAGCTTCTTGCTCAGGCCGCCGCCGAAGTCGTCGCCACAATCCACATAACGGCTGTTGATGTGGGTTGTCGTGCGACGGATCTGGCCTTGAATCGCCAGCAGGTCAATCTGCCACACAAAAACAGTAGGGAAAGCACAGCCATGTTTCAATCATGAAGCAGAACTAGCCGTAGCTAGCGGCCCTAAACCCACAGTCCTCACGGCACACAAGGATGCACAGGTAAAAGCAGGATCTCACCTGTCGATGCTGGAACGTCTTGCTGAGCACGTTCAGCTGTTCCAGCACGTCAGCGAGGAAGCGCAGCATGAACTGGAATCTGTAGCTGGTCACCATCTGGTACATGGGCTTGTTTCCCAGCTCGTGCACCATCACGACGACCCCCGGAAGGACCGCAAGGAGTCGGCAGACTGCATCGCCGCGTGAGAGCCAACGCACATCATTGATTCCTTGGAGCTCCAGGTTAGTCTGAGTGAAGACTTCCTGAAGGTCCAGGAAGCGCTGGTGCCAGGGTCCTGATGAGCCGAGGTAGGTGGAGAGCCAGCGGATGAAGCTGTCGACCATGCCAAACTCCGGTAGGGACTCTGCCGCGTCCTTGGCCGCGAGTGCTTCCCTGCGATTAAAACAAAAAACAGTCGCATTTGGTTAAGTAGAAGGAAGGACACCATGTTCAAATAACAAATATCAGTCGCATCGGACACTGCATCAACCACCGTACCTGTGAGCGATGCAGTGGCAGGACACCAGATGCGGAACGCGCGTCCTCAGCCTCGCCACCAGCTCTTTTTTGGATCCGACCATGACGCTCGCCCCGTCGGTGCTGATGCCCGTGATTCGGCGCAGGTCAATGCCGACGGCATTGACATGGGATAAGAGCAACGCCACCAGCGATGCGGCGTCTGCCCTGTCCACGGTTAGGAGGGCAAAGAACTTGGTGACTACTGCCCCGTCGCGGATGAATGTGGCATAGATGATGAGATGCTTCCCACGGCATCTGTCCGTAGACTCGTCACAGCTGAGGCCGATGTAGTGGCTTTGTAGGACGTGTTCGAGTTGTGTTGTCTGCAGCCACACGGCCGTTGCCTGTGTTAGTTCCCCAAAGCCGTACCTGCATAGACACCGAACATATTTGTTAGGCTTACGTGGTTGTGAACAGGAGAGGCTTTTAATGCATGCGCCCGTAAGCACTGACGTGGTGTAGTAAGTGCCGTATCCCTTTTTGGGAAAGCCGCGGACCTCGTTCTGAGCCATGTAGCGAACGAGGCGCACCCACGTCTCCATCGGCAGATGGTTCTGGGTGGTGAAGTGAAGGGAGTTCAGAAGGCTGATGACGCGGGTCGTCTCGTCATCTTTGGCGAGCGCATGCTCGTCAATTTGCGGCTGCTTCACAGCCTGAGCTAGCATCTGCTTCTGGTGATTGATGGCCAACTGGTGCTTGTTCGTCGCGGCATGCCGCTTGAAGGCTTGGGTCTGAAGATCGGTTGCACCGTGCCCACTCTTGCCACACTTGCCACCGTCACCTGCAAAGTCGATGCACAATCTGCACTTGAACGCAGGCATGCCAGCAGTGTTTTTTATGAGTATGAGCCATGGGTAGTCGGTCGACCACGTCGACTTGAACGTTTCAAGGGCCTCTTCGTAAATCAGAGTGGTTAGTGATGGTTTTTTAGAGTTAGATGGCGTGGGCGTAACGTGGTTTACCGACTCGCCGGCATCAGCGAGAGGACGTCCAGGATCTGTAGGATCGGCCCAACGCAGCACGGCCTGCTTGTAACGAGGCGGAGGCTTCGACGACGACGCACGAGATGGCAAGTCTAGAACGAGATGATGACGAGATGCTCGGTCCGGCTGCTGACGGCACGGCCGGCTTAGCAGTATGCGCGGGCTGGGGACGATCGTCTCCGCGGCAGAGGCCAGACGCTTCACAAGTGTTTGCTACTGAGGCGACGGGACCTGGCTTCTCTTTTTCATGGGAGAGCGCGGAAACTAGAAAATCTAGTCCCGTTCTAGCCTCCAGCATCTCGGTGGCGGCGTAAAGTGCATCGTCGTCATCATCACCGCAGCTGTTCTCACCGGTGATCACCATGGCGCGTTCACGTCACCTTCCTGAATCGGTGAGTAGTAACGAGAAACCCTGGGAGAGAGAGAGCCTGCCGAGCAGGCTTCAGGGAGACTGCAGAGATTGATGTTTCGGAAAGGGATGGAGTCTGGAGAGCTGGAATGGCAGAATCACGAGACCCCCTGCGTGGGGTGCCTGAGCGGGCCGCCCCAGCACGCCCTGCCTTGGTGGAAAGAACAAGGCAGACCACTAGGCTTGGTTGTTTGTGCACATCAATGGAAAGTAATGACAAGTGCAGGTTATCCAACGTGACAACGGTACATTGCTTCAACTGGGACAGCCAATTTCTTTACGCCGTTTTGCCAACACAGCCCGAAATTAACCCTTTCAACTGTATCTGGGCGCGCCGCAGGGTGGCGTCGGTGCAAGGTGGGTTCATGCACGATGACGGCGCGCAAAACTGCGAGAATCACGGATTTTCCGGTTTCAGGGTCGTCTCCGATACAACACTGACTCGTAAGTGTCAACAAACTAGAAACACTGGAAAATCAGGATTAGGAAAAGAAAAACACTGATTCATCAGGGTTGTAAAAACAAAAAGGCTGATTCATCAGGGTTACAATTAAAAACCGAGGTCAAACATCAGGAAATCAGTGTAAAATTCCTGGAATCTGAGGCCCTGCCTGTGTTATGGGTTTTGTGAGCTTCCCGCTATGCTATTCAGTGTTTTCTTCGCGAATGACAAAATCGAAGCTTCTTGTGTCGGATACACCATGACTGGCGCCGATATAATTGCCCAATTATTTTTTGGATGCGGTTGGGATTTCGCAGTGGGCAGCGAAATCCCATCGTTGTAACAATTGACTCTGCAAACCCTCGCTGGACGGATTTCGCGGTGTGGAATAATGAGAACGATTAA